ACTTTTAGTAAAAAAACTTAACAGATCTACAAATAACAAAATTAGAAAGGGTGCTCGGACTCCAAACAACAAGAAAAAAATAAATATTTGGGAATATGGCTGACAGCACACTGTAAGGCGATAAAGGAGAATAATTATAATAAGCTATTACAACAAACAAAAAAAGATTTGGAATTATGGATGAAAATGCAACTGTCATTATTAGGAAGAATAGCAGCCATAAAAATGTCTATATTACCAAAATTTCTTTATTTATTTCAAACTATTCCAGTTAAATTAGAAAAAACCTTTTTCGATAATCTTAATAAAATGACAGCAAAATTTATCTGGCAGGGTAAAAAACCCAGAATAAAAATGAAATTACTACAAGATATGAAGAGCAGAGTGGGCTTTGGATTGCCAAATTGGGAATTATATTATAGTGCAGCAACATTAGTTTGGCTAAAAGATTGGATTAATTTAAAGAACAAAAGAATATTAGCTATAGAAGATCATGACCTTCAGAGGGGATGGCATGCCTTTATTGGGATATAGGACCTACTAAACAAAAATTATTTCCACAGGCATCTGATTAGAGATTCATTGATATATAATTGGATCAAGGTTAAAAAGAAACAATATATAAAAATCCCAATTTGGCTATCTACAATGAAAGCGATGATCCACCCAAATAATTTAGACCTGAACAAAATGTTAAAATATAAAGACTTATTGGATACAAATGGAAATTTAAAAACAATACAAGAGCTCCAAGAACAAGGGCTACGAGTAGACTGGTGGGCTTATCTTCAAATACAAAGTTGATATAAAAAGGATGTAAAGGAGTATGGAATATACTTGAAACCTCAACAATTAGACAAAATTTTATTAGGCCCAGATAAAAAAAATATTACCAAAATTTACAAGTATCTCCTAGAAGTAGAATTAGAAGAAGTAGTGAAAGGATGCATGATCACATGGGGTCAAAATATTGGTCATAACATAAAGTTATCAGAGTGGGAGACTGTATGGAATAGAAACCACAAATTAACAAAATCAGTAACATACAAAGAAAATGCATATAAAATGTTCTATAGGTGGCACTTACCCCCTTCGAGATTAGCGAAAATGTACCCTAAAATGAGTTCCGTATGTTGGAAATGTAAAAAAAAAAAAAAAAGGGAACATATTATCATATGTGGTGGTCTTGCCCAGAGGCTCAAAAATACTGGCTCAAAATTCAAAATTGGCTACAGGAAATCACCAATGAACAACTAGACCTAGAACCAGAACTCTTCCTATTGGGGATCTTCAAAAAAATATGTAAAGAGTACAAAATACTTATTATTACACATGCTGACTGCTGCCAGGATTGCCTTTGCCCAGTGTTGGAAACAGCCATATACACCTGTAGAGGAACACCTGGTTATACCAAAAGTTATGAATTGTGCTGAAATGGATAAATTAACGCTGAGTTTAAAAGATAAGGAATCTTCAATATTTTATAAAGTATGGGAACAATGGTGTAACTGGATAGATCGGAGACAGACTAAGGATAAGGAATTATTAAATATAGAATATAGATAAGATAAGAATATAATTATGCACAAATTAATATTTGTAAATATCGCACAAATGATTGTTACACAATAAGCACCACAAACAGCTGTTATTATATATTTTTTATGTTTTTAATATAATAAAATTCAAAGTTTATTTAAAAAAAAGAAATTTGAGAAATGGAATAGGTCTTTGTATGAATAAGAAATTGGGGGGGGGGGGGATCATCTTTATTGGTAGAAAATAATTTCTAAATAAAAAACGATAGATTCCCAAAATTGTAGTTGATAGGACAGACTACACTTCAATTAGAATCCTCCTGGATAGTATAAGTTACACATTACATTAGGAGCTGTGGGCTTCCTGCTTCTTGTATAGCAGTACCTGGGTAATAAGTTAAGAAAATTATTGTACAAGGAATCTCTGGCATAGAAACTCAGAGAGATACAGTGGCTACTCTCAGCAAGGCTGAAATGCTTAAATGGATGACCCACTACAAATATAATTTTCAAACTGAAAAATATTCAATTACAAAAAGCCCAAGTATCTTAGATGGATGTTTATCTATGCAAGATTGCAACAGTTAGATACAGTGGTTAATCTGAAAGGTTTAATTGAGTTCACTACCTACTGTATATTTATTTGTGGTTTACCAGAGATTGAGGATATACCACATGTATTATCTGAGTACCAGTTGTATTGCCTAGAAGGAGATAATTATCTTTGAACATAGAATAATAAAGTTGGAAGGTTTTCTATTCCAACCCCTAGTTGAACCCTATAAAAAATGAACAGCTTTCAGGGATCCATATCTTAGAGCAATATATATGTGGTCAGAATATAAATATTACATATAAAACAACCTCCTTGTTGAAAAAAGCAGTGCAATTGGAGCTGTGTGAAAATATGTGCAGTACTTCTGATTGAGGTAAATCTAAGGCAGTAGTGTCAAACTATAAGCCTGTGGGTTGCACCCGTCCCATTGGGTGCTTAGATCTGGCCTGTGGGGTCGCCCTGGAAACAGCGAAGGACTGGCCCATGGTGCCTCTGCCAGCGAAAATGGAGCTCCGTTTTCATTGGCAGAGGGCTGCAGGAGGCCGTCACAGACGAAAACAAAGCTGGAGACAATGAATCACCCCAGCCCCATCTGGGCCACCACAGGTGTCCTCAACATGAGTGATGTTGAGCTGGCCATGCCCACCTGGCCCCCCGAGGTCAAACACAACCCTGATGAGGCCCTCAATGAAATTGAGTTTGATACCCCTGGTATAAGGGATGATAAGAACATATGAGTTAAGTTTCTTTTTAGTTATTTTGCAATGAAGGCTTTATTCAAAGATTTGATATTAGAGTATGAATTTATGGCTGAACAATAAAATATTGTTGTGACCTAGCAGAATAATTCTCCTGGATTTTTCCCTAGATTTATTTTTTATAAAATAACTGAGCTTGCAATATCTGGTATCCTTTACTGTTGTAACTTTTTGAAGTATCCTTAAAGCAGGGGTGTCAAACTAGCGGCCCATGGGCAGATGCGTCATGTGCAAGCCACACCCACCCCAGCTTCACGAATGGAAAAAGCGTCACGAAATGTCGCTTGATGGCAACGTAACACCACGAGTTTGAAACCTGTGCCTTAAAGGGAGATTTGCCTTAATCCAGTGATGGCGAACCTTTTTGGCACCGAGTGCCCAAAGCGTGGGCACCCCCCCAAAATGCAACATGTGTGCGCTCCTGCGCATGCGCACTCCCCACACGTGTGCCCCCTACATGCACATGCACATCCCCCGCATGCACCCTGCCCCTCTCCCACACGTGGCAGAGATCCAAAGACCAGCTGGCTGGCGAGAGGCGCGGGTGCATGCATGGCAGAGCTGAGCTGGGACAATGCCACACGTACCCACAGAGAGGATTTTGCATGCTATCTGTGGCACACGTGCCATAGGTTCACCACCACTGCCTTAATTTATAAGTATTCAATATCCTTGGCTGGCCAATTCCTTTATTAAGACAAAATAGTAATGAAGAAACTGGAATTAACTTAATCAAGTTGATTTCTAAATATTGAATATCTTTTTAAAGGAAAGAATAGTTATCTATTCATGTAACAAGTGGTGAATAACAGTAGACATATACAGTAATTCCTATCAATAGTAATGAGCAATATCAAAAATGTATTACATAGCTGTGGTTTTGGCAATCTTGAAAAATCACTGACATTTAGAAAAATATGGCAAGATTAGTAGCATTCCCATTTTATTAAAAGTTTCTGGAACATTATACAGTATATAATGGTGGCTCCCAATCTTTTGGACACCAGGGACCGGTTCTGTGAAGAGAGGTTTTTCTGTGGACTGGAGGTGGCATGGTTTTGCATGCTGCCTGCATCCCATGGATGGGGCTTCACTTGTTTGCACAGACCGGTTTCTGGCACGCTGTAGCCCGGTACCAGTTCATGGACTGGAGGTTGGGGACCTCTGCTATGTAACGTTATGTAATTCTGTGTTGAGGTACTTATTAATGGTTGCTGGTGCATGCTTTTGAATATTTTTTCGACTCTGATATACTTATTTATGACATAGACTAGTGGTGGCTAACCTTTTTGGGCTCCTGTGCCAAAAATTGTGTGTGCGCTGGCATGCTCGCTCTCGCGTGCCAGCACCCAGAAGGCAATATGCGCCCCCCCCCCGTCCCCTACGCATGCGTGGACAATCCCCCCCCACGTCACCCCCTTACCTGCAGTGCGCCTCACAGCTGATTTTTGGGCGGTTTGAGGCCTTTTTTGGCCTCCCAAAGGCTTGAGGAAGTCTTCTGCAGACTTCTACAAGCTTTGTAGGCCAAAATCTAGCCCCGTTTCATCACTTCCTGTTTTTTCCAAAAATACCGGAAGTGACAAAACGGGGCTAGATTTCGACCTACAAAGCTTGTAGAAGCCTGCAGAAGCCTTCCTCAAGCCTTTGGGAGGCCGAAAAAGGCCTCAAACTACCCAAAAATTAGCTGTGAGGCACGCACATGTGCAGTGAGGTAAGTTTGCCTGCGGCTCATGTGCCAGCACAAATGGCTCTGTGTGCCACATATGGCACGCATGCCATAGGTTTGCCATCACGGACATAGACAATTCAGTCCTATTCACATTTACTAATATGCAATAAACACATTTAAGACTACAGGCCTGCAGTCAACTCCAGTGCATGTTTATTCACAAATAATTGATAGGATTGTTTTCAGGTAAGTGCTTACAGTACATATATTTTACATTAGCTTCAAATAGTGCTCAGAATTAGTGCAAGTAATGTTTTCTTTTAACAAGTAACTATTCTTATTGGTACATTTCCATGTTTTGTAATCAAATACTTACTGAATGTTTTTATTATGGGATATAATGGCCACTCTTTTTGAATAGTACATTTAAAATGCAGACAGCCCTGATGTCCTTTATTTTCTGTCTCTCTTGCATATAGGATGTGTCTCTGATTGACATTCTCTGGAGACAAGACATAGATCTTGGAGCAAGGCGTGAAGTTTTTGATTTCAGCCAAAGGAAGAAAGAATATGAACTTGAGAAGCAGAAAAAGCTCGAAAGTGAGAGACAAGAGCAGCTTCAGAAAGAGCAAGAAAAGGCCTTTCTTGCTGAGTTGCGGCTGGATGAGGAAACCGGGGAATTTGTTCCTATCGAACCAGCTCAAGTTGTTGAATCTGGAAATTCTGCCATATCCAACAATTATTCACAGGTATAGCTGTAAACATATAACTCCTTTTGTTTTTATTGATTGGAACCAGTGGTGGGATTCAAACTTTTTTTACTACCAGTTCTGTGGGCGTGGCTTGGTGGGCATGGCAGGGGAAGGATACTGTTAAATCTCCATCTACTCCAGGGTTAGGATACTGTTAAACCTCCATTCCCTCCCCAGTCCTGGGAGAAGGTTACTGCAAAATCCCCATTCCCTCCCCACCCCACTAACCTGCTTTCCAGCTCCGTTCTCCTGTGCAGGGCAACAAAAGAAGACCCAGCTGATCAGCTGGGACTCGGGAGGCAGAGAGTAGATGGGGATGGGGCCAGTCAGAGGTGGGATTTGCTGGTTCTCCGAACTACTCAAAATTTCCGCTACCGGTTCTCCAGAACTGGTCAGAACCTGCTGAATACCACCTATGATTAGAACCCTGTATTCCCTCTTTCTAGTTTCTTTCACTGTAGTTGCTGTGGGTGTCTTCAATGAATCTGCATTTAACACAATCGTAACCTTCTGTCCTTTTTACACAGAATGTTCATATTTCCAAAGAAGATGCAGATGATCTGTTTGATGATTGCATGCAGATTTTAGCAGAAACATTTTCATTTGTAGACGAGAGTGAGGTAAATATTCACCACTTTAACAGTCTTTATGGACTGAACTGCATCTCTTGTTTCTACATTTCTCTTAATATTGTGAGTCACAGATTTTATGATATGCATCTTTTTATGCTAATGTTTAAGGTTCCAAGCATAGGTATATCAATATTCATATTTCATATATTCTAGATTTCCCCAGCTGAATTTCAACAAGTGGCGCCTTTGGAAATGGCTGCCAACCAGGTCTTTTTGGAATCTAACCACATGCAGCAGCTTGACTCACCTGTACTTCAATCTACGATTCCAGAATTATTAGATACAAAAGTGGAAAACACACAAGATATAGAACAAGTGTGGGAAGAACTCCTGTCTATTCCAGAACTGCAGGTAATATTTGCTGTCAATGTTTGACCATGTATTTTGGACAGATATTTTACTAAAACGAAAAATCAATGTTAGCATTTTTGTCTTCTTGGTCAATTCTCTCCCACATCGCTTTGTGTAGGATAATTCAATGGAAGAAAAAGAGTTAGAAACTTCACCAAGTAACCAGTTGGCACTGATCTAATAGCTATGAAATACTTAACTTATAACCAAGAAGATTTAATTGTAGTGCGAATTAAATAGCATTTTCTAGAGAGAATGTGTATTATAAACTGTACAGTAATTGCATTTGCAATTTTCAAATAGAATTAAGCCCTAATGTGCATTATAATCCTATAGCTAGTTTGCTTGAAAATGTATTGAAAGGCTACTTGGTTATTCTTTTGGATATACCACTTACAGTACAGTAATAGCACCTAGACTTATATACACTTTACAGGGCTTCACAGCCCTCTCTAATTGGTTTACAGAATCAGCATATTGCCCACAACAATCTGGCTCCCTATTTTACCCACCCTGGAAGGATGGAAGGCTAAGTCAACCTTGATGATACTGAGAGATTGCCAGAAAGTTTGCTATTTAATATCTCTTTGATAATTGGGGGGGTGGGTTGAAAAAATCTTACCCATATCAGTTTTATCCATAATTGCACAGGAAGAGTAAGCCTGCTTTTTCTTAAAAATAAACAAAATAGTTGGTTAAACTTGGTACTCCAGAAATCTAATTACTTGCAAGCTCATCAGAGACATTAAAAGCCCCCAAAATTTCATATATCATGGATACTGTTTTATAAAAAAAATGATACTTTGTAAATCTAGAGTAACAATAGTCACAGGAGCAGGAATTTATAAGCAAAAGGCTAATTATTTTACTCTGTATGCAGAAATTTCTCAAACAGAAGTTCATTCTCGAAGAAAGAAGCTGGGTAGGTCTAGTTATTTGCCCTGAAAAGTCACATCACTTTTCAAAGTCCACTCAGTCCCACAAAGGGAATGGTTCAGTTCCAGTTATGAGGAACAGCATAGGCTTATGCAAACTCTTACATTTAAGTAAATTTGTTGAGTGAGTTCAAATACGAGTTGAATGACTGAAAGGTTGATCGATGTAGTTTCAAGGTTCTAATGCATTTCATCCCTTTCTCAATATTCACATTACCTTTTTGAAATTGTCAGTGGTGAAAGGGGCCTACTAATTACTTGCATCTCTCTCCTTTATTTCTTTTGCATGATATTTGTCTATCCATAGTCTCATAGTATGTAAAAAGGTGACAGTAAAAACTAGTGTCCATGTGTGTGTGGCACAAGATTACCCATAAATACTGCCTCCCTAGCTTCACATATGCTTCACCTACTTAGAAACTGCTAATATGTAAAACACAGGGAGATCATCCTCCTCAGAGTTGTCCTCTCCTAGTTGTCATTTTTCATGTGACAGAAGGGAAAAAATGTTAAAACAGATGGAAAGGAATCATACGACTGCTCTGAATTACATTTAAATTGAATTAAACCAAAGCTTAGTTGCTATGCTGCATGAAAGCATGCTGCTAAAAATTCTAGTGTGGCTTTCAGACCAGAAAACCCCCCAGTATAACTCTACAATGGAAATATGTAAGACTAGCATGTAAGTGTTATTGCTGAACATTTTTTTGAATCTTTCTTTCTACAGTGTCTTAATATACAAAATGACAGCCTTGCCGATGTAACATCAAACCTATTTGCCGTCAATACCACTTCAGAGGCAACCGATGACTTTAACTTCTACAGTTCATTATCTGTCATGGAGAAAGAAGTTGTTAATGGCAGTCAAGACTTCCTGAAACCTTTGGAGGATCCCTATTCCAGCATAGGGTTGCCAGAAGATTCTAGTCAACGTAGCACTGATTTCTGTGAGGATTTCTATTCCTTTATTGATGTGAAGATGAATCCCAGAGTGGCTACCCCACCATCTCATTTTGTGGATCAGGCAATTGCTGGCTTTTTAAGCGAACCGATTGATCTTTCGGATTTTGCTCAGTGCAAAGCTTTTAAGCAGGATCTTGTAGGAAATGCCCCAGAGTATAATGATTCCGACTCTGGTATTTCACTGAATGCAAGTCCCAATATAACCTCCCCAGCTCATTCTGTTGAGTCTTCTTCGGTCTGTCAGGATGCAGGCTTTGGATGCAGTGATTCAGAAATGGAGGAGATCGATTGTGCCCCTGGAATTGTGTCACCGAGCAATGCCTCGATTCATTCATTTCACCTGCAGGCTCCTGCCTCTCCATCTCTGGAGCAAGGCACTCCAAAGCCTGACTTACTGCTTACTAGTACACCTCAGAGAGAATTGCCTGCCAATCCTGGTCACGTTGAAGCTCCATTTATGAAAGATAAGTCTTTCAACCAAGAAGAAGCTTATCTCACTAGAGATGAGCTGAGAGCAAAAGCTCTGAAGATCCCTTTTCCTGTTGAAAAAATCATTAACCTCCCTGTGGATGACTTCAATGAAATGATGTCCAAGCAGCAGTTCAACGAGGCTCAGCTCAGTCTGATTCGTGACATACGAAGGCGAGGCAAGAACAAAGTAGCTGCTCAGAACTGCCGTAAAAGGAAACTGGAAAATATTACTGAGTTGGAGCATGATCTGGATTACCTGAAGGATGAGAAAGAGAAGCTCCTGAAAGAGAAGGTGGAGAATGACAAAAGCCTGCAGCTGCTGAAAAAGCAGCTGAGCACCCTGTACCTTGAAGTCTTCAGCATGCTTCGAGATGAAGATGGCAAGCCATACTCCCCTAATGATTACTCACTGCAGCAAACCAGAGATGGGAGCATTTTCCTTGTGCCTAAGAGCAAGAAGCTAGAGACTAAGTTCTGAAGATCAAGGAGACAAAAAAAATTAATAATCCATGAATATTTTTACATTGCTATTTTCTATTGATAAGTATCATGGAACCCAATGTTGTCCTTTCTCAAGTGACATGTTTCTTTAGTCAAATGTATGAATGCACTAAATCATTAGCGTAAAACAAAATGTATGCACATGGTTAATACTTCCAAAATACACTAGTTCTTCCTGTTATATAACAGCCACTTCAGTAGTTTTTGTGTTTGTGTAAATATTTCAAGATGTCTTATTTATATACCATTTCTATAGTTGGCTTTATTCAAATAAGCATCAAGTGTGATTTATCTGCTAATCCTACGTATTTACAAAATTAACTTTATGTCTTAAGGTACATCATTTTATAAATACAAATGATTTTTTTAGCTTACAAGTGTATTTACTTTAATATAGCAGCTTGAATGTAGTGTAAACTGATATGTATAATACAGCAATAGGACACAACCCAACCCAAAGACAAGCACTTTGAAGAATAGCTTAAGAGGAGGAACATTAAGCACATGCTTAACGTTTTCGTTAAAATTAATGGGGCTTCAGGAACCTGATCATTGGAAGGTTTAGCGTTTTGTACTTTTAAAGTGGTTGCATTTTTTTCTTTTGACGATTTAGTAAATTGTTATGCAAAGTATGATTTTGTTTCAGCCAAAGCTGTACAACTATGTGACTCAATGTGGTTGAATGGGAGAGCGATTCACTGGATGTAGAACACAGCTTCTTGTGAATCTAAGCTTTTATTATCCTCACTTTTTTGTAGCTCTTATATTTTCATATATTTGACTTGAAATGCATTAAAAGTCTCCAAAGCCAGATTGAACAAGGCTTTATTGGCGAGTGGGGGATCTTTGGCATCCTAAATTTTAGTTTTTTAAGAAAAGATTGGACAACCACTTGTCTGAAATGGTATAGGGTCGCCTGCTTGAGGACTGGAAGACCTCCAAGGTTCCTTTCATTGTTTTGTTAAATAACCCCATTGGTCGTATTAATAATTTTGCAGTTTGGATGCACTAGGCAAACAATTGCACAATTAAGATTTAAGACTAGTACCCATGCAAAGTTGGAGTTTATAGAGCAGCTAGTAGGATTGTTATTCAATTCTATTCTTTTAAGTATGTTTGCAATTTAAAGTTTAAGAATGTAGCCATTCTATATTTCAGAAGAAAACTAAGAAAAAGATACTAGGTAGTTTTCAGGAAACTTTTTTTTAAAGAAATGACCAGCTGTCTCTTGAAAGGAGCACTGGATAGTACTTTAGTCTGATATATAACATTTATCCCCAAAGGATCTACATAAAAATATCTTAAATGAGTATGTGCCTTCAAGTTGGGTGTTGATTCAGCAACCACATAGGTTTCCATGACAATCTGCTCCTAGCCCAGTCTTTCAGATCTTCTAACAGCAACTCCTGGTGACTGTCCTTCATCCTTGCTGCTGGTCATCCCTTTCCCTTTTCTTTCCAAGCATTTTAATGGCCCACCTAAATATTAATAAGGATGGGAGCCATTCTGACTTTGAGGGCAAATTGTGGGAGAGCTAAGCAGTTCATTTCTAGTCCCTCCTTGTGCATCCTGTTGTATGTAAACTTGAAACTTCCCCTTTCAGTGGTTCTGTGCTGAGCAGGTACTGTAGATATGCCAGACTAGAAAGGGTTTAAAGGGAATAATCAGCATCTGGAATTGCAGCCAAAACTCTTATTTCAAGACTCTATATAGAATTGCATCAAGTTAAAAAAAAAACTGTCAGGATTCTGGCAGTTACCCCCATGTAAATCATGTGTCTCGAGCCATACTTCCAAAACTTAAAAATGATTTATTGGGAGTTAAACTGTCCGGCACTGCCTGAGTGTAGCCAACTCCAAGCTACATAATTGTCACCCTTGACCCTGGTTTCCCCCCACCCCCTGGGTGTATTGTAATTCATATTCTCCAGTAGGACACATCTATAGCCAACAGTCATGCCCTCCTTAGAATTTAGCATGGCAGAAGCTTCAGTCACATTGTTACTATCTTTGAAAACATTTATGGAATGCAGTTTGTTTGCAAGCTGCTGCATTGCTCCCCCTCCCTTTGTTGGAAATTCTAAAAAAACCATAGAAATATTTTATTCGTTGACCTCAAATCCCTTTACCAGATTTGCTGAAAATATTGTTTTTCTGTAATGAAATTCAGTCCAGTGTAAAGGGGATAGGTAACATTGGTCATCCACCAGGTTTTATGCTTGAAAGATTTGAACTTGGATTTCATCTCCAACCAATACTGGAGACCATGTTACTCTGATTTTGGAAGTGGCATCAAGATGAAAGTTGTTCCAGAGCAAAATTTAATGTTGCCAGTTCAGGCTCGAGTGACTTCACACTGAAATGGAACAGAACCAGGGCTTTAGAATGAGATCCACAGCACTGAAGGCTTCCCTCTCCTTGTCATATAGTATCTTCTAATCAACCTACCCAAGTGTTCCTGTTTTCCCACCATTTTTGACTTTTGGTGGCTTTTTAAAAACATCTTAAATCTAGTACTGTTTTACATTTCTACCATTAAGAAAAATTAGCATTTTTGTGAACTTTATTGAACAAGATACCACACTTTTATGTGGTAGAAGAAACATATTACCTTATTTGAAATAGCACTGAAATGATTATAATCCTCATGGGTTTTCACTGTAGTTTTAAGGAAGTCAGTGATGTGGTTCAGGGTCTTCAGCTTTTTATATCTCATGCTTTTCTTTTTAGACTTGCATAAGAAAAAAAGCCTGGGTAGGGCACTGTTTTGTTCCCTTGCCTACAAACCATCCGCTTACTGTTTTACAGTGAAATTGAAAATATGCCATTGTAAAATTACTCATGTTTCCGAATTAAACAACATTGGAAAATAGTGATACAAATCTTAGTATTTTTCATTCTCAGATAATTCATAGGACAATGACATATCAACATAAATTACTAATCCACATCAGTCAGAAATGTGTGAGTGTGCTTGTTCCTGTAAACATGCCCTCAAGTTTTGTTCTAGCAGGATGTGTCCTTAAGCTCTGAGAGGTATCTCCTAGGCTAGAGCCAAACATTTGCACAGAACCTGTTGTTTCATGTGGAACTAAATGACCAATGTGAATCCAACATCTCTAAGTGGCTTCAAGTTTGTGTCGTAACAATTTAGAAGAAATCATGCAACTCAGTTGCTTAATACAGAAATAAATGATGGTCCAGAACTAGAATTGAAATTCATCAACTATCATGATTAACTGTGTTTTATTACAAGCATTTGTTTATTACATGCTTCAATTTTTGCTCTCATAGCTATCAGTTGTATGCATGTTCCATTGAAGAATCAAAAATGTCAATTTATGGAAACAGACGAATGTTTCTTCAGGATTAGTCATCCTGCAGAGCAGAAGATAAAAGCAAACAATTTAGCACATTAAGTATGGTAACCTATTGAATATCTTAACTTTGCTAATAGTTGATTGAGGTCCACAAGATCCCTAATGCTGGCACCGTTCTAGTACCATAATGTATCTAAAGCCCATCACCAAACACGGTTGATCTCAGTCTTGTTTGGGGGAAATATTTAGCTGAGCACATACAAGATTCAGATACTCTTTTAGTAAAATGTGAGGCACAGAGAAACACATGCACTCACCCCATTTCCATCTTGCTGGGGATTGCTGAGATTCCCCATTTTTAGCCTCAACCCTGTTTTCATAAGACAAAAAGGGAGCATAGGTGCTCTTTGCCACTCATAGTCCTAGAATAGCAAGACACAATCCATAAATATTATCTAATATTCAGTTTCAATTAGCCACAGTTCCTATTTACTATAACATAACAATTTGTACATTTGATGCTACTATAGATAGGTACAGAAATGATAAACTGCTCATAAATTCATAAATCGTGAGTTAAACTGAGATGCTGACAAGCCGACAATCTGGAATCATAATCCTACTCTTTTACATGCAGAATAACAACAGAATAAGGCAAATTAATTTCAGTATTAGATTACACAATTAAGGTTTACAGAATGAATTTTTAAAAAATTCTTAACCCCCCGCCCCCCCAAAAAACTCATTTTAAAAATTTGTTACCTGAAAATTAATTTAGAGGGCACATCAAGTATTCCAGGTGAGAATGTTACTGATTTTCTTGCCTGCAATTTGGTAATTAGAAACATTACCAATAGGAATCCAGCAATGCTTTATTATTGGCTACTTTTCTAACTGAAAAATCACACATAAAATCAGGATTTTCAGTTGTATGAAAAGTGCTTTTTTTATTTGCCTATGTACGTAATTGGGTATGTTCAATGATCTGTAATGTATCATATACCTTTCTTACCAAAATCACTGGGAAATTATCCTTCCACAATACAATGATGCCCGACATATTTTGGTAACAACATTAAGAAACTATATGCCAGGAGCATGCAAACAGCAAAAAGCAACCAACCACTGTTCTTAAGAGTTCCCAAAAGTAAAATAAAATAATTTGTTCCATTGATTTCCATATTCTGCTAGTTAACTTTTTGTTCTAGGCAAGCAGGGTAATAAAGCTTGATTCAAAGAGTGCCCATTTTTCCTATGCTAAAAAAGGTGGTGTTTCATCAGGGAAAAAAAATCTCAACGTATTGAAAATGTTTTGTTTCAAGCTCAGAGTAGTTCTTACCCTCTCTCCCATTTCATTCATGTTGATACTTGATGTTGCGTGCAAATTGTCTATTATAACTAACACCTACTGTATAGAAGATGCCGAACCCTACTGGAGACCACTATAATTTTTTGAGCCATTCACAAGTCACGAATTTAGCTGAAGACAGAATTTTTTAAAAATGTTACTTCTCATTAATTGGTGGATATTTGACCCCCACCCCCCACCCCACCTAGATATGGTCTCCAAAACTTCAAAATCCTAAGTTAAGCTTCATCTCCAGCAAGGTCTAATTGTTAAGCCACTCACCTCTATAACAGCTGTCTGAAGTACCGTGGATGGTAGAATTTTAGACCTAAATGCCAATTAGATGATTTAATAAGCCCATCCACATTGATTTGAATACAGTAATAAATATTCAATATATTTCACATTTTCCCAGTTTGTTGTTTTCTCCAAAACTCTAATTTTCAGAGCTCAGAATACAATAAAAGAAACATCAGTGTTGTACACATTCTTACCAAGCAAGTTTTCCAGTAAGATATCCACCTCTGGTCACAGAGGTTTCTTCAACAATCTGCAAGTCAAACAGATCTTTCTTACCATGTTCAGAGAGGAATTATTTTTTAATTCATGAAAAGTGTTAGAAACAAACCTTACCTAGTCTTACTCCCCTTTCAGGTCTAAATGCTAGGAGACCTACCACTGTAGGCCAACTCAAATAGCTATGACCTGGGGAGCTTCCAATTGGTGAAGAACTCCTAGACTTTCTTCGTTATTTCATCACTGACAGGCAGATTTAACTATTTGGGGAAGCTGCTCACTATCAGCATAGTATATTTATGCCTTCTCTTGTCTGGAAGTTGAAGCTCTTGCTGCCTTGTCCTTCTTTAATTTGCTGACTCGGGCGCTGCAGTCCTGTCTGAATCTCGTTTGATCCTCATTTCGACTAAGATATCTTTAATGCCGGTTATTCACTGTCCACTCCTTTTACTTGTCAGAATTCAGAGAGATCTAGGTCTAAGTCACTGATTACCTTACAAGTTTCACATTTTTACAAAAGATTAACACGCTGGTATTGTTTTCTCTATATAACATCAAGAGTCATTCCATCACCATTAAAAACAGATTGAATGTCTTAACCAATTACTCATTATGTTGCTGGATTCAGTGACAGACTTAGAAGGGATGAGTCTGATCTACCTTTGCAGGAAATGCACATATATGTACTAATGTAAGCCCCCCCCCCCCCCGAGATAGCCTATGGGGAGATGGCATATAAATTTAAAAAATAAGGAATGTACATGAGAACACTACAGTAACAGCTGAATCCCTTTCAACAAGCTTTGACTACTGGTATGCAGACACTTTCTTGGAGATAGAAGATATCAACATTCCCACATTTAGTCATACGATACTGTAGATCTTTGGGGGACAGATACTCTCGAGTTGGGTTCACATATAGTAATAGCACTTAAGACTTATATAACATCCCATAGTGCTTTGTAGCAGAGGTCCCCAACTCCCAGTATTGGGCCGCAGCCTGTTCAAAACTGAGCCACAGGAGATGGGCAAGTGCACGCGCATAAAGCTACACTCGTGCATGTTGAGCAAGGATGTATTCGCGTGCAAAGCTCCATTCGTGCAAGTGGAGGGCATTTGTGCTCATGTGAGAAGCTCCACTCACGCAAGTGGAGGACATTTGCACTCATACGTAAAGCTGTTTGCACAAATGGAGCTTCGCATACAAGCACCTTCTGCTTGCATGAGTGGAGCTTCACGGGCTAGTCCAAATGCCTGCTACTCACAAGTTGAACTTTGTGCGCAAGCACCCACTGCTTGTGCACAAAGCTCCATTTGCATGAGAGGAGGGTGTGTGCACCCGCCACTTGCACAAATGGAGTTGTGCATGCGTACACCTGCCACTCACATGCCCCTTTCCCGGGCCAGCAAGCTGGAAAGGTTGGTGACTACTGCTTTACAACACTCTTTGAGCAGTTTACAAATGTGAGCATATAATCCCCAACAATCTGGCTTCTCATTTACCAACCTTGGAAGGATGGAAGGCTAAGTCAACTTTGAGCCCGAAAGGATCGAACTGCTGGCTCTCAGCAGTTAGCCTGCAATACTGCATTCTAACTACCGTGCCACCATGTTTCCTTTTATACTTTTTTATTTTAAAGTAAATATTAACCAATGCATTCTATACCCAATGACGAGTTCATGTCTGATTCTTGAGCAATTTGTTCAGCAATCAATTCCTACACTGGAATTAAGTTTATCTTAAACTCATTGGCCTACAGAAAGAAGGTGAAAAATGTCTGAATTTCTTCTACTCACTGTGCCCTACTCTTCTGGATGTGTACTGACAGAAAGCACTGCTCTGGCAATAGTTCAAAAAGAAGTCTGATCAGATTAAGAAGGATAGCAAATTATTAGGGAACAGGGCTGTAAATAAACCTAGGTAAGTGAAGGAGTAAACAACTTAGTCAAGAGTGTGACTTTAATAATTTTTATCAAATCATTCCAACGAACAGTCTGTATTTAACTGTAGCCATAGGACCCTCATTAGCAACAATAGGTTCTACCAAATTAGCTCCTATTTCTTTCACTTTACCTTCAAGACCTATTATCAGGGCATTAGAAAGTGTGTGAAACATCTTGATGCATTCATGCTCAGAAAAATTATACTTATTCCAACGAACTCAGAGGGATTGTTTCTATGCTGCAAATTAGCATCAGATAGAAAGGGGCATACAGAATTATACACAGTAGAATTTAGGCACCTTAATAGATGAACCTATATTTTTAGGCCAGATATATATATATAAATATACATATGAAACTGTAGAACTGTAAGCTAAGTAACAGACCCACGCTATTAGATTCAAAGTTTTAATTTAATTATATGTGTGCATTTAATCTGTTTGCAATTTGAGGGAAATTGAGTCTCAACAATTATAAAAGGCAGAAACCTGTTCTGCCAATGTTTCTTGTAGCTCCTTTATATATCAGCGAAGTGGGAGGCAAACTGAATAAACTTTAAAAGATCTTGTCAATGCTTATTTACTTAGAAGGTTTAAACTAAAAACAAATGCTACAAATTATGATATGCACAACCCAGAAATATCTGGAATTCTCATTTGAAAGTAAAGCTTTTATCATTCACAAGCATTGGTTTAAATGACTCAGTCCTAATTATACAGCTAAACAAGCTTTAATGCAAACATCTTTCCTCTCCCTATGCATGTGCAACTCATGTCATTTGGTTACATATGCAGAAAAAAATTAAGAGTACTTAAAACGTTCAGCATTTCTATTGTTTTAAATTAATACAGATTATAATGCACTGATTTTTTTTTTCCTAGCAAGAATATACCCTAAAACTACATTTCTTTGTTTAAAGAAGTTTCGGTAAGAAAAAACTGAACTACACAAGTATTGAAAAAAATTAAATGTTCCTTAATTATTTTTAATGCCTGGTACCACTACCACAAATTTACAGGGCAATATACCTGATTTTATGAAGAAAAGACAAAGCTACAACAACAAATTAAAAAAAGTCAGGAATGTACATCTAAACACTACATTGCATTAAATCAATAGCTGCACTCTTTGCAAACTGTGGCTATTAACAGTCCTTAAGAAGGGTTTCCTGTTTAAGCTGCAGTAACTTTTCTGACTATGGTTCATCGCTCCTTCTGTGGCAGATTTTACAGTTCCTCTAATTCATTTGGGACGACTGTCTCAAAGTAACCTGCAGCTTTCCTGACAACTCCTCGCTTTCTCCTGCTAAGAACTGTAGCCTGTTGAATACAGGATAAAAAAAAAAGATTACTCTCAAAGAAATGTTGTAAGCTTAATTAAAAACACTTATTTGTAGCATACATACCATTATCCCACTAGTTTTTAGAATCTTCTTCCACCATAGCCACCACTTCCTCCACCTGATCCATAGCTACCTACAAATGGAGTATAACTGTTTATATTCAAGTTCTTGTTGAAAGATACTAGCCAGCTGCATATATTTAAATGTTGCATTTACCACCATAGGGACTGCCTGAACTTCTGCCACTGAAACTGCCACTTCCTTTCATGGGTCCATAACTTGAGGCCTGCTGTCCACTGTAGTTGCCAAAATCATTGTAGCTTCCACTGCCACCATAGTTGCCTAAAACAGAAATTTAATTTTATGTTCAAGTCTGTTATATAATTTGAAGTAATTTAGAAAAGTACTTCATTCGATTAAATAAATGAAGCACTATTGCATACAATTGAATATGCAATGTACACATTTTATGGACTTACGGAAGGTACTTTATGAAATTTCGATGAACAATGTGAGTTGTAAAACATAAAAACTTATGCAGTTTTTAGCTAAAAAAAATGGAAGTCATGAACTCATTGTTTCTGTTCTTTTCTCCACTGATAAGAAACAAACAATACTTGATTCCAGCTAGTAACTTTGGTACGATAACCTGTGAGAAACAAGCCTGAGGAACACTGGGAGGAAGAAACACCATTCATCTCCTCCTGCTTCAATTTAAGTGTTTTCAATTTAATGTTTTTTCAATAAGGAAAAAAAAAGCAATCTATTCCAGCCTCTCCAGATAGCTGAACTTTCTCAGTTCAAAGTGCCCCTAGTGTCCCGTAATTTTTTCATGATGCCCTGTAATTCCCAATATTATTTAAATATAGAGTCATCCTTCTTCTAGGTAAAGGAAGTTTAAATTAGTTCCAAGTTTTAGTTCTCATACTGATGCATAAATTTGATAATCCCATTTGTTCATTATCTTTTAAATCAACACATTCAGTTTGCTCTTTCTAGAAATATACGCTGATCGGAAAATTTATCCTTGAAACTGTGGGCCAGCAATCAATCCAAATATTTCATATATGGTGCAGTGGTTAGAATGCAGTACTGCAGGCAAACTCTGCCCACAGATTGAAGTTCAATCCTGATGAGGCTCGAGGTTGACTCAGCCTTCCATCCTTCCAAGGTTGGTAAAACGAGAAGAGTTTGTTGGAAGCAATATGATGACATTGTAAACCACCCAGAGAGTGGTGTAAAGAACTATGGGGTGGTATATAAGTCTAAGTGCTCTAATTCCACTTCCAACAAATAGTTATACATTCTTGTTATAAATTTTATCTCCTTGCCTGTCAAAATTTGGTCCAGTTGTTGTAAGTCCTTACAATACAATAGTAAAGGGATCAATGATTGCCTGGGCAAAAAATATAGGGCATAATATAAATTTAGAGGATTGGGAAAAATGTGAGCTGATAACTGTTAATTGACATTGTCAACAGCATTTAAAGAAAATCAATATAAAATGTTTTGTAGGTGGCACCTAGCCCCAGCAAGACTGGCCAAAATGTATCCAAACACAAAAGCAGAATGTTGGAAGTGTAAATATAAAGAAGGAACATATGTGGTGGCAGTGTCCAGAGGTTAAAAATATATTGGATGAGGGTACAAAGATGATTATTAGAAATTACAGATCACAAATTAGAACTCAAACCGGAAATATTTTTATTAGGATTAAGGGAAAACTGAGCAAGGTCATCCAATGCATCATTATACATATCATAACTGTGGCAAGAATAGCCTTCGCACAGGGATGGAAGAAGGAAAAGATACCATCTTGACACAAAAAATAATGGATTGTGCGGAACTGGATAAATTCACAATGGAATTAAGAGGCAAAGATGATTTGGACTATTACGCGGTTTGAGATAGGTGGTACAAATGGGTGGAGGATAGAAATAAGAGATGATGTTTATGTATAAAAGAAGATGTATGTATTAATAACAACATGAACACTGTTAACGTGAATAGAGATTTGTATTTTTGTTTATAAAAAATAAAATATTAAAAAAAAGTCTAAGTGCTATTGCTATATAAATAGTACTGGGGAAAGTTTCACAAAGAATGTGACATTTACCTAGTGTTAATCCTACATGTAGACCAGACTAAGAAACCAATGCCATGAAGGTCAGTCAGTACTACCTTTATTGTAAAGCTATAGCAAAAGAATTCTGCATGTCTGAATGTGCTTCCCTCTTCTTCACTTTATGAGCTAGGGAGGGACTTGTGTAAAATGTTTTTTCAAATTAGTTTTCTGGCCCTGGTGCTTATCTGACTGCTGCCTAATAGTGGCTCTTCTTTCTGTCCTTTAAGGCCAATCTCTATGCCCTCTACATCTTTAAAAAAAAATAGAATGCTACAGAAAAATTAACAAAACAAACTCCTTATAAAACAGATACAGGTTAGAAAAATCAATGTCATATCCCTAGCAGCTAGCATGGGAGCTGTTGAAAATTAAACTTCCAATCTAACATAGATGACAGCATGCACTGATACATACCCCCTGAATCCTTCAAAAAAAATTTCAATGTGATTTCACAGTATTGGAAGAGTACTTTGAGAACAAGTTTACATTGCATAACATTTTTTTAAATATAACCTACATGTTTTAAAGTGACAGATAAAAATTTAATCTTATTGAACTTTTTAACAATCACGCTAATATTTTATTAAATTTGTATTATAAATATTTATAATTCTAATGCAATTCAAGGCTTCTCACCTCCAAAGCTTCCTCCTTCATTATAACCATCATAGCCTCCACCTCCTCCGCCATATCCACCACCTGGATTTCCATAGCTTGGGCTACCACCATAACCACCTCGACTACCATATCCAGGGCTACCACCATAGTTTCCACCTTGAATTAAATGTAACAAAAATTGGTTGTAAATAAAAAGATAGAAGTCAATCAACCTTCTGCCAATGTATCTTTCAGATGTTTTGGTTTGTTGCATGCATCATTCCTGATTATTAACCACATATGCCTTTGAGATCAGAACTGTTTTTCCACACAAATGGAGGTATCTAGTTTGAAGAATATAAGCAATATTCCACAGGAAGACATTAGGTCATATTTTAGTACTTGCTTTGAAAGCAATGACACTGTGCTCCATTGAAATTACTGGGTTAAGCTAATAATACCTGACTTAAATCATCTAATTATTCAGTACACAGATTTTCTTTATATCTCAACCGTTTCTATGTCAAGATATTCCATAGTCACTAAAAGCTGTGTCCTATTATACTTCTGTTTCCTTTAATGATAAATATAACTTCTTACCCTTTTTCATACCAGGGACAGGAGTGGTTTTATAAAGGAAGTATAAAGAAAAATGTTATCCCTTAAAAACTTTCCCCAATCTGGTCCTCACCAAGCCACCTTTCGAATTGAAATCTTTTTGACACCAGTGCAACCAGGTGTGGCTGTCAAGCTACTGAAAGTAATATAGCTCAAGTATTATGCAAGTTGTATTTGTACTACCATGCTTACCATCACCAAAGCCATTATATCCATCGCCACTGCCAAAGCTTCCTCTACTGCTGCCACCACCTCCACTACCGTAGCTTCCTAAAGCAGGACAAAAGTATTATGTTATGAACAAGTTAACAACCAATAATGTAAAACAATATCTTGGAAGGACACTGGGGAGAACTAACATGTACCTCTACTACCAAAACTTCCACCTCTGTTGTAACTTCCACCACTGCCTCCAAAGTTTCCACGACCCATGAAGTTGCTTGAACTACTCCCACGACCTTAAATAAAAACAATATAGTGAATGTCTAATGGTGTTCGATAGGTAGCATACTTGCTCTATTTTGGACTCCTACTAAGACTCACTTCTTTGTGCAGTTGCAGTCTGCATTTCTTGCTTGGAGAGAGCTTTCTTCACTTCACAGTTATGTCCATTTATAGTGTGATATTTCTGAACTAAAATAAAATTTGAAATTAATTATTGCTATGAAAATATGCATTCTGCTCAATAATGATTTATGCAAAAAAAATTGTAAAATATACCAAAATCAAAAAACAGAAATATAAAGAACCCATACGGATTCTCTTACCCACATAAAATTAAAAGTATGAAACCTCTTCATTTTCAAGGGCATCCACAAACACTTGCAAAGTAATTTATTCAGACTTTTATCTCTAACTTTAAATTGAGTTAAATTGTTTTGACCTCTATTCTGGCTTGGTTTGCCTTTCAACCCCAGTAGAAAAAAGCAGAATTTTCAATCAGCTTGCCTCCTCCTTTTTTCTTCTAGAATATGTGGACCCAGAGAATTTTAAAGGGAAGTAAAAGAGCTTCTTAGAGTCAAATGATTGAAGTAGCAAGCAAGCAAAACATGACAAGGTACCAGAGGCTGGTGCTTTCCAATCAGTCCAACTCAATTGAATGAGTATAGAATGCAGGTAAAATTCTGTTTGTACAAGTAGGAAGCTATTAGATTGGGAAGCCTTGTTGCAACAGAGCTAAGAGTTCTTGGCCTTAGGGAATATCTAGTTTGTCAAACAATTTTTCTATCAGTTTCTTTTGGTGCTTTCCTCAGTAATGACCTAATTATATTAAATTATAGTGAGGATGCTATGATTTCTGGTCCATCGATATTTGCTTTTTTGTTACTTTTAAACTTTACTCTTTTATCCTCTTCCTTTTTTCTTTCACATTAGTTTGTATTTTATTGGTATTTAATATAATAAAGGTATTAAAAATAAATAAATTAAAACTGCAATTAGAGTTTTGACCTGAACCTGCTTTTGTGTAATCACTAATCACCCTTTGAGCTGGAATCTCTCCAAACCATTCCCCTGCTGGAAGTATATATTTCCTTTGGAGCGAGGTTTTTTTGAGATTTTGATATTCTGCTAAAGTTATTAGTTAAGCTGTTCAATTTGTTTGGGAAATTCATCCAGCTACAAAAGGTGGCTACTGGACTTCTGTGCACCAATAACAGCAAACAAGCAAATTGAAAATATTGTACTTTATGAAAAATGTTATCATACTGCCTCCCAGGCAGGCATTTAAGCATAGTGGAAAAATTCAAGAAAGCTCTGGGTAATGAAAATGATGGAGTCAAACATGTGCTTGTGAATAAACAACTATCAGATATTTGAAATTGGAGAAACTGATGTAAATACACAGAAGAAAAAAAAGTCAAGAATTGAATTTGGGGCTACAAAGTATAATCTTTTAAAACATTGGAATATCTTATATTATTCCTACGATAAAAGTTTTGTTTATTAAAACACAGTATACATCAATATTTATCAAACAGAAGTTACCACAAAGACAAAATACTACATACCAACAATTTTGTCTACTGTATCATGATCATCAAATGTCACAAAGGCAAAACCTCTTTTCTTTCCACTCTGCCTGTCTTCCATTACTTCAATGGTTTCAATTTTGCCATATTTTTCAAAATAATCTCTTAAATTATATTCTTCTGTATCTTCTTTAATTCCACCAACGAATATTTTCTTTACTGTTAAATGAGCACCTGGTTTCACAGAATCCTATGAAATTTTAAGTTAAAATTAGTATTTCAAACTTTTATATTAGTTCAATATTTGAAAAACACATTTAGAAGCAAGCAAGCATTTGTGTAACATTTTAAACAATTACTTACTTCTCTAGAAACTGCTCTCTTTGGCTCTACCACACGGCCGTCAACTTTATGTGGTCGAGCTGCCATTGCAGCATCTACTTCTTCCACACAAGAATAGGTCACAAAACCAAAGCCTCGAGAGCGTTTTGTCTGTGGGTCTCTCATCACCTTCAAGAAATATATAATACAGAGAATGCTGATTGAAACATTTTTTGTTTAAATCTAATTCTCTAATTGAGTAGAGCAGAGTTTATCCCAAATGCAAAGACATACAAATGTTATAATTTCTCACCACACAATCTGTGAGTGCGCCCCATTTTTCGAAGTGGTCTCTTAGGCTGTCGTCTGTTGTTTCAAAGCTCAAGCCACCAATAAACAGTTTTCTCAATTGTTCTGGTTCTTTAGGATCATGACCCTGAAAGAAGAAAATTTTCAGTATCTGCACTAGATTCATACTGCTGCTCAGAAATTCACTTAAGTAGTTTGTCTACAGTTTGCAATTAAATAACTTACCACTTCTATAGCTATATGCTTCAGTATGATACAAATGTATTTATGTACTTATTTTCTAACATGTAGGCATATAGCTATAATCTGAGGCTGCAATTCTATTCATAACTGCTCTAATTGTCCAATTGAAATCTATATGATTTATGAAAATGTTCGGGTATTTTCCCACGTCATTATAGTTGTGCTTTTAAAGTTGTAGCAACGTTTCGGCAGAATCTCATCTGCCATCCTCAGGCTTGTGTATTGTGTTCGTCTGTGTGTGTGTGTGCACGCGCGCGCACACACACACACACATTCATTCCATGGAAAGGGCTATTACTGTTAGAATTTCATTACATTCTATCTACATATGATTAAAAGAACCATATTTTAAAAAAATTAACCATCTTTTAAACAAAATTTAGCACAATTCCAGTTTTTGTTTTTCTTTTGTACAGTTCATACTATTTTGTTCAAAATATTCTAACAAAGTTAAAAGCTATTGGATTCTAGTCATACTAATCCAGGGCTCTCACATTTATGGCCTGCAGACTTCTTCTGTAAGGCCCATCATGGCTCACACATCAGATGCTGTTTCAGCTTTTATTCCTGTCCCAATGTGTGCATTTGTCCCAGATTTTTGAGCCACGAGCATTCCGACACCCCTCCCCCCATCTTCTCTTCTGCAGAGCTCACTTGTCCTGCACAGGGTGAGCACTGAGTCTCCCCCACAGCACCAAGTAGCTGTGCCACTGCAGAAAAATCAATGTTGAACAAATTGTGGAGAAAAGCAAAGACAGCTTTTGCACAAGCCATGCTGTGGAGGAGCGTAGAGACTCTGCAAGGGAGGAAAAAGTGGAAAAGGAGTGCCAGCCACACCTTCACTTCTCCCCTGCAGTACCCGCTTGTGCACTTTCTGCTTCTGAGCCATCTTTCCAAGTCACTTAGTAATCTATCTGTCTGCTGATGACACAAAGAACCAAAACTGGAACTGCCAGGTAGGCTGATAGGACAGAAAGCAAGATGAAACGGAAACACAGGAAAAATAGTTCCAAAGAAAATTTCACTATTGCCATATGATTTTGAGCTTCTAGACAACCCATGCACAGAGTAAAATATTTGTGCTCCACATGCTTTTCTTGGTCTAGAATCGAGTGATTGGTGCCAACTTTGGACGCAATGCCCTGGACTGAAAAAAACAAACTACAGTACTTAGATCAGAGACGGAGAATCTATGACATATATGTCAAAGGTGACATGCCAGATTGTTTTGGGTGACACACTAATGTTCACCAACAGATGAGAACTATTCTTGAAAACATAATCTATTCTCATACAATTTTCAGAGACCGCAGAGGACACGTAAGAATGAAATATGCTCTTGTGCAGCCTCCACAGCCTATAAAAATCATGCAAAAACAAGCATGCTTTCAAACGGTTTTTGGAGGCAGTGGAAGAGCATTCTATGAAGCTGCTTCACAAATCAAGGTGTTATGCAACCTGGAGCAGCCTTGGATAGGCTGCAAGGGCCTGTCAACAGAAAGAAAGCACGCCTAAAAGTAAATGGTGCATGGCAATTCTTGGAGGGTGTTGGGCCATGGGGCAATCACACATTCTCCAAAGTTTGTGATGCTTAGGGGAATGGGGTATGGCAGCTTTTTTAAGTGACAGCAGTGGTGCAAGGATTCAAGACAAGACATGGGCTTCTACTTCAGGCCTAGTCTCGGTGCTGCCAAGTACTTCTCTTCAGGGCAGCCTAGATAGGGGAGAGATACAGAATTATTTCTTTTGTTCGTGAATGGAGACCATGTCAGTAGAGGCACATTTTTTGAATTTTTGACATGTCAAGCCCAAAAGGTTCACCATCACTGACTTAAATCTTCTGTATTAATTTATATGGATGGATGGCAACCAACCAGCCATAGAGGGAAGTTTCTCTCTCTCTCTCTCTCTCTCTCTCTCTCTCTCTCTGTGTGTGTGTGTGTGTGTGTGTGTGTGTGTGTCTGTCTGTCTGTCTGTCTAAGTCTAAAAGAGATAGCTCACATCCTTTTATTTGAGGGCAACTAGCCAGTGCCAGGCTGCCAAAAGGATTGGGGGCCATACTTCTTTAAATACTAGGTTGAGTGTTCAAAGAATCTGGTCTTCTTTTCTAGATATCACTAGAAAACAGAAAGAATCAAATTATTCCCTCTTCTTGCTGTTTCCTAGTCCAATCTCTCAATTTGAAAATCTTGTTTCCATTATCCAGAACTTCTGGATATGCTCCAAATTCTAGACTATTAGAATTCAGAGCAGGTGAACAGTTATGGATCCTTATTTCTGAAAACAGTCTCATGTGGGCAGAATGGAACAACAGAACTTGAAGAGAATGTGTGCAGAGTTCAATACATTTTCTTTCCAAACATATCACTAGTTACAAACTGATAAATCCAGGGAATGGAGTGACTAAAAATATCTCGATTTTTCATATTAACATTGTCACTTTCCTGTTTAGCAACTCTTCATTTGAAACAATTCACAAAGAGGAACATAAATTTGGTATCATTAAATTTAATTTGCATTTATTAGAAGTTATACATTTTTGAATTAATCAGATTAACTGGTGATTCTCAAAACAAACACATCATTTTTTTTTCTGCCTCAGCAACAACACATTTTAAAAGGCTAAAGTCAAATCCCAAGATTGCAAAGAAAGGAGAAAGTTATTTAACTGACAGTCATTTTGTCAGTGAATCAAGTAGGGTGTGTCTAATAATGATAAAGGCACACGGAATAGGAAAAAGAATACCTGCATTTGAGTTGTAAAACTATTTGAATTTTATAGCAACAGCTGACTTCAAGGGAGTTTTGATTAGTATCTGAATAATGGAAAGTAAATATTAAATTGTGATTGGCCTTAATAACCTAGCTGAAATGTTTATTCTGATCTCCTATGGTGTTTTCAAATGGAAATTGTAATCAATGGCCATAATGACAAAACAGTTAGCCTATACTTCCCCTTTGGATAATTGTATTTATTATGAGTGGAATACTGCTGGTACACTTTAATCTTTCCCTGACAAAAAAACAAGAACATATCACCTATTGTAAAGCAGTAAAGTCTCCATAACTCTTAATTCTAAAGCCTCTTCTTACAAAATTGCTAGTCCCAACAATCTCTTTTTTAAGAGATGGAAAAGGCCATAGACCACTAGGTCTTTTTCTGCCATCAGTTTTCTCTGTTTCTATAATCTCTATTCAGTTCAACGCTACAGAGGAAATAAAGGTTCCACTAAATAAACTAAAAGTTAAGTCTGGACCGTTAAACTTTTTTCAAGAACTACCACTGTATCATTCTAATTCTCCCTAAGATACATTTATGCAGGTTATTACAAGCCATCTGTCTGTGGACAATAGCAAGCTCTTGCAGTTCCTTATAACTGTAAGTTAGAAATCGTAATGAATACAAGGAGGAATTTTTCAATTATAGGAGTTTAAAGTTCTATTATTTAAAGCATATATTGATTACTTCTAATATGTTGAAGTATTTACTTAAATATTGTTAATAATTATAATTTCTATAGTTAATTTTCAACAGATGGCCATAGTTCTCAAAAACAGCTTAACTGCTGAACATATGTAAATATTACATAACCCAAATATTTGGGTATTTATTCAAGTGAAGCTTATCTATCAATTAATAACTGTATCTATACCTAATTTTGAATGATGCAACTCTTGAGTCTGGATTCAGTTTTTTTACTACATGAAACAGATACAATGTTCTTTTTTTAAATAATGTAAATTTTCAATTCTCAATGTTCTAGTTTTTAATGGAACAATACTGTTCAAAAAGCAGCAATACAGGTAGTCCTCGACTTACGATCACAACTGAACCCCAAATTTGTT